GTAGGTCCTTTTAAAAACTTACAATGCCCACTGGGGCTTTAAGTAATGTTTTCCCTCTCCGGCTAGCAGGAGTTTTTTCCTTCCAGGTTTCTACCCCGTTCCAAGGTTGGCTCGGGGAGGCCTAGACGAACAACATACTTGTAACTAGCATTCTCCAATGCACATCTGCCTGAAACTAGCAATGTTATATTCAGGAAACATACTTTCAACCCAAGATTGCTCGATCATGCAGATAACTGTCGCCGAGAGACTGAAAGTAACAGGGCGGGACAAACACTTTGTGACTTGGGACCATTTCAGTATAATTTTGCAGGGGGAACTAGGTCAGTTAACTCGACCTACTTTCATCTTTCTGAGTGATTTTCTCTCTCTCTTTTTTTGATTTTACTTTCGCCCTTAGGAATTTGTGTTAGCGGTGTTAAATCTTCAATTATAACTGTAGCCTGCGTGGCAGGCGTTTGAAAGGGAGGGAAAAGGGGATTTTGGGCGCGAGGGAAACGCGAGGGGTGCGCGAGCGTTTGAGGGAAGGAAAGGGGGGTTTTGAAAAACCCCCTTTCCGTTCCCTTTAAAACGCCTGCCACGCAGGCTATTATAACTGCAGTCGAACCTCTCCCTCTCTTCTCCGTAGAGGCCTTCTATTTTTCGATGATTGCTAATTTTATTGCGATACCCAGCGGGAAACTCTGTGGAGGAGAGAAAATCTCCACAACGGCCACCTTGGGAACAGAAGAAAGTCAGCACCCAGCCACGATTTTCTCCTAAATGCATTGACTACACTTTTTAGGCCATCCAGAGTACTTTTAAATCTCTAGAAATGCATTTTAAGCGGCCCTACAAAATTTGTATCTGTTCGGTCATCCTAGGGCAACTTGAGTCTTTTCGAAATTTAATGTCTCAAAAGTCTGAAAGAAAAAGGTAAGTACGAAGAAGTTTCGTCTTTCAGAAGCACATGACTTCGCTGTACTAAATACTCTTATAAATGTTTAAAAAAGTAATAAGCAAAACCGCTTTTATAGCTTTGAGTCGACGGCTTCTGTTTTCTTTCAACAAGTACTATTCTGTTCAAAAGGAAGAGTTCTACTGATTAATATAGACTTTCTCATGATCCTTTGTTGCCGCTATTCAATTTGGTGACCCTTTGGTCAGTTACGCTCTCATTTTCGTGCTCTCGTTTGGCTTTCGTATCGTCACTTGAGGGCAAGCTTAGCACCTGTCCATTATTTACTTTAAGTAGTAAGCTGTCTGGCAAATGCTAACAACTCTGCACGTGCATCACTCTTTTTTGTACATTTCTTTCCCGTCACTGCACGACCTTTACGTGATAATGCCTATAGACCAGGGGCACCCAACGGCAATTTTCGGGAAAATATCTGTTCGGAAGACGATTTGAGAACTAGAATTTTCGGAACATTTGTTGTAAAATTTCTTGCTTGCCTGCCTCTCCTAGGATTTTCGAACATCTACAAAATGGTATAATTACCCATTTTAAACGGATATTTACCCTAAAAAAGGCCACCTAGAATTTTCGGGGGCCTTTTCCTGGCTGAAATTTTCGAAAAGGTAAGTTTTGATCCCTATAATTTTCGGATCACTAGACTTTCAGCTGGGAAATCCGAACAGATGAAAAGTTTTTAGGGGATAAAAATATGCCTATATCTACCGTTTAAACACTAAAATACGTTCAACAATGCTATGTTAAGTGGTTTTGAACTATATCCTCGTTGGGTGCCCCTGATAGACTACAAAACAGTCCGTATTTTTGCGTATTCAAGTACGCGCGAACAGTCAAACAAAAGGTCTGGAACGAGGCTGAAAACAGAGAGCAAGACTGGGGAGAGACGCTGAAAATACGGTTTTTTCCTCTGACCTCACGCGCCCTACGGGCATGTGAGACTCGCGAGCTTCACGCGCGTTAAGGCTCTTACGCCACGTTTTACCGATTTCTTTACTGATTTTGACAAAAAAAACCGGCTGTTTTGCAGTCTATAATGCCTACGACTTTCTTTTCCTTTCCTTGCACTTCGAGACAGTCTCTAGCACTCAACTCCAGAAAAAAATTTCCAACATTTGACGAATTGAACAAGATGGAATAAGCAATACAAAGTTTGCAGCAGTGCGACTTCACGTTTTAAGTGATGTTTTCGTAGCCGTCGCTGTCACCGTCGTTGTTGCTTCAGTTCCCTATAAATAACATCCGTCAGTTTGTATAAAACTTTTAAACAGTAGATTCCAAACCTTTGTGGCATTACAGGTGTTAAAAGTATGGGTCAATCGGCTAATGAAGGCGGTTCTCAAGTCTCCACTGAAACAGTGGGTAAGATAGGAGGTAGTATAAAGGATGTGTGTAAATGGTAGTGTCGCAGTAGGCATAAAAACACAAATAAAAATGGTTAAAACATAAGTAGTTACGTATTGAGGAAGCAGGTACTGCGAAGCAGTCAGTCGCCTTTAGTTCACAAAAAATGCGAGGTTCTGTGTGACCTGTGTGGGTGGAAAGACTAGACACACTGCTTTTCAGTTGCAAGCGTGACAGATAACCATGCCTGAAGAAATTTATTACGCGCACGTATTGCTTAGTCAAATTAACTCGTATTGCTTCGGTTTTTTTGAACCGCAGCGTTTAACATAGGACGAGCTGATATTCGATGATATCGGAAAAACAACGCACGATCGCAAAAATCCCACGATTGATAATAACAATCTTGATACAGGGAGCTCACTGCACAAAAAGTGATTTTCAGTGAGGCCTTGTAAAGCAGAACAAATAATAATAATAAATGATAATAATTAAATAGATAGATAGACAGATAAATTAATACGTAATAGTAATAAAAATTTAGGAACTAAAAACTGTCTAATTGTTTTTTTCTCTTTCTTTGTGTCTTTCGTTTATTGTGCTTGATTGTTGTTGTTGTTGTTGTTGTTTTTTCAGTTTAGATTTTCCTTAAAAATTATCCGAACACTTTTAAGATATTCCTAAACCTACAGACAGACCCCAGTTAGATCTGGGTACGAGCTGGTCAGAAAATTTATTCGTCTTAGTAACTGGAATAACTTAGTAAACGTAATTTGCCATTGACCTTAAGGCGCGAAACGGAAAAGATTAAAGTCACGATATTTTTCTTATCATCGCTATTTTTGGTCTAATAGTGAACTTTTTGTTCGCGTAGGGGATTATAGAGAGGATGAAAATAAGACTTTGAGTTAAATAGCACGTTTCCCGTCCTTGGTGAGTCCCTGGCAATATATAATTATAAACAAGTAATTTAAAAAATGATGTTCCCATGCGAAACTTCTATAAAGACACTTTTCCTCAGACCTTTCCTGAATCTACTCACTGTCAGTTTTGCGGAGATATTTTACAAGAAAAAACCCAAAAACATAATACATTGAGCATTTTTTTTTAATATCTTAATGTTTATTCCCTTAGGCCATGTAGGAGTTGTCGTGAGTCAAGCCAAACGTGACTGTTCTACAACACGCAACAAAACTCACTGGAATGGTCAATAATTGTCGGGGGACTCGTCAAAATATTTATTTTTAAAAGTTTCTGCGCAATAAAAAGCCGTAGAGAGACCAGTTGCTATTCCCTGAATTATATGTTGCCAGGAGCCTGTTACCCAGATGTTGCTGACTTTTGAGCGTCAGCCCCTCGCGTGACAGGCAAATGTTATGTGCCTTGAGCTGCTGATTGATTGATTGATTGCGTAAGATCATTCGACTTCTCGTTTCCTCCTCAAGTAGATTCTTTTTGAAAAAATATATCTGCAATTGTAGGTGGAGAAAATGTCTATTTCAGGTTTTTTTCTTTTTTGTTTTCGATACATCTTTATGTCCAAACAGCGTTATTTCCAAAATTTTGATATTTCATAGATTCAATACGATTTTAGTTTTTTGAATGGAATCGTCAATTTGACAGCCGTCTTTCTTTACGCGAGGCCCATGTGCTCTCCGACAGCTTATTAACCTTGGGAAAATAAAGGACAATTTATGTACAAAAGCGACAGTTCTCCAAAGCCCTTAAATACTTCTTTGTGGTGGGTTACTGACAGCATGTAAAGTATAGCAGCAGTAATCAGTCGGTAATGGATAATCCTGTAGTTCCAACAATTTATGAAGCTTAAGTTGTTGTTTAACATTTTTACTATATTTTTAGGTATTATTCAACTTCTTTGTTGCAAACAGTTACTGGTATCAGCTGGACGCATCTTATATTTTATCATAACTTTCACGTGTTGTTCAATTTTTGTTGAGTTATTAAAATCAACAATTTAAAGAATACATATATTATAGAAGCCGCCATCGATTTCGTGTTATATTAAAATGAAGGATTTTCACTGCAAGACTTCATGATGTCTTTAGTCACGTTTGCATGTAACAGAAACCAAAAACTCAAGCAACAGGTGATTTCCGTCAACAGCTTTACTGATATTGAAAGAAAATATACATCTTTTTTGGCCTTTATAATCTGAAATTTTTCTATTCTTTTACAAATTTACCGGCAGTTTCGGTCTTTCTATTTACATGGTTTTCAGGTGAATGATAAAACAAAGTTTGTAACTGACAATGACGTCTTTGTGAAAAGCTTATTTACAAATTCATTGAAACATGTTTAACATAATTGACCCTTTTGTTTTTTTACGATTACTAAGCTTGAAAATTCAGTCACGTCCACACTGTGAGTATCAAGGCAGATGACTAATAAGTTAAAACATTTACAAAAATAATCTCTGAATACTCGCGTGCAAACATTTTCATCTTCATCTGAGGTTTTTGAAAAATATATATATGTACAATACTTTTTGTTAGTAATCTTATTTAATATATACCAGAAAAACGTTCAATGTCCTCAAATAATTTAATCATAGGCTTTGCTCCTTTACATATATGAGATGATTTTCTATTTTTGATCCTTCAAATTTTCCGTTGTATAAATATGAGTTTAACATCGCCTTTTAAGGCAAGAATGTGACGCTCCTCAGCTGTGACTCCGTCGTTGATCAGACAGCTGGAATTAAACTTGATCTTCTCGGTTCAACCACGGCAATTTCTTCTGTGAAACTTTCTTCAATAGCGGGGAGAATTCGGCTTTTTCTCGCGCCCCGGTTTATTTTCTTTACAGTTTTTTCATCCTCACGTTCAATGTCTTTTAAAACTCTAACCCACTCTTCTTTCTCTTTTGGACTCTCCGCGGTGAAGCACAACATCCCAGTTGAATTTCCAATCCGTTCGCCTTGCGGGGTCAACGTAAACGAAACTTCACTGTTCTCAGTGACAATGCAAGTTTTCAATTTGAGAAAAGCGCAGGGTTTTTTCCACATCCATGCTGAATCGCTGTAGAACACGACGAATGGGTCTGACACCCTGGTGTACGCAACCGCCATAAGTCTGACGTGACGATTCAGACTTGTGTCCCTCAGCTCCAAAAAACCTGACTTCGTCTCTGCCATGTTTTCGTTCATATTTTCTGCAGTTATTTTATCTGAAGTCACTCGTTAAAGCTTAGTTGCGATTTTAGAATTTTCCAAGTCCGCAGATTAATCAAAGACAAGCACTGATGATCACTGAACGAAAACACGATTGTCGCTCTCTTTTATTTAATGTTTTGGGAAATGACGTCACGCGAATATAAGCAATGGGCAAAGAATAAAATTTTAGTTTCATTTCCTTTTATGACGTCAGCGCCTTGCTATTCGTACAAAAGAGATCTAATACGTGTTGCGTTACTTCAGTCAAATTCCTCTAGTGCTTTCCAGATATTCTCGAAGTGACCTGAAAATAGCCTGTATTTTTGGGAGTTTTAGGGCTTGATTCTACTTTTATCTGGTTTAATGTCGTCGTCATAACAGCATTTTTGTGCTCGTGGGTCGGATGAAGGACTCACACGCACACGGAAAACAAATCGAAGTTTAGTTGCCGGATGTGAGATGAATAATTTATGAAATAACGTCAAGGCATCAATATTTTATAGCTTTCGCTCTCTTTACTTAATTAACAGGTCCAGGCCTGGGGGTTGTTATAGATGTGTTACAGTTTTTCTATAAACTTTTAAAAATAACAAAACCTTTTTGGAATTTGGTCATTGGCTCATGAGTTTTAAAACCACTTTAAATTTTAATAATAAGGTCATGCATGGGATGTTTTTCAACGAAAACACTGTGACAAGGCATTTTAAATACAACTTGTAAGCACGTTTTCGCCCCTAATGGAACTGAAAATGTAATTCAATAAGCTGAAGTAAGATGTATTAGCAGTTCAAGCAGACGTAAATGGTAGTCCATTTCGACGTTTCTTTTAGAATTTCAGATGAGTGATTCTAAATCCTGCAACTGCTTTCTATTTTTAGTGACTCTATTCCCACCCCTATGTTCAATTTCCTATTAGTGCATTCATCAAATTTCGGTTTAAGGGAGGGAATCTTATAAAATATTTCGCAAAAAGAACGAGTTGTCAAGCTACTTGTTTTATCATTTCATTTTTTCTTACTCGTTTGGCTTCAAATGAACTCATTTCAGAGAACACGGAAGATAAAAGGGCCTTCTAATTTTAAACTATTTCGGTTATTCTATTTTAATAAACGGAAAGAAATCACAGTACAGAAACAGGAGCACGGTATAAAGCGGGGTTAATGACGGGATGAAATTACTTCTTAAAGAAGTCGCCAGACGCTCAAATGCAAAACAAGTGGTGTTTTTGACAGGAAGAATAGCAAAAAAAAAATTAATAACTACGCTGAATTTAAATAATGTTCTTAATAGGTAACCAAAAAAGGCAAAAGAATAGGTGCGCGTTTCACTTCGTCATAATTGGAACCTGTTTTGACACTGTTTTAATTTTTACCTCCTAAAAACTATTCATCGTTTCTATAACATTAAGGTAATCTTTATGCGATCAAACGCTCCTGTGTTAAGGAGCTTATGAAAACGGGCCGTAGAATAAGAAGGATGCAGAATTTTTAAAGGAAAATTCAGTCGATGGTTTCAAGTGTATGAGTTCTCTTCAGTGGAGGATGATCATTGTGAGTTTGGAGGGCAAAGACCTTCTGCTTCTGCTATTTGCGAGTGGGAATTCATTATGATTATTATGATTATCTACGGTTGAAAGGCATACTCCAAATTTGGAGGCGACCACCTTTATACGTATTTGGTGAGAAATGACCAATTAAAAGAGTGGGTGAATCCTCTTCGTGTACTTATCTCATGGCTTATTAACACCTATTTTGTAAGTAGGGGCATTTAAATGTGCGTCATAAATAAACACAGACGAAAATTTAAAAGGATGGTTTTAACAACTCTAGTTTTCTGGCTCCATGAAGATTCCAGCCGTCCCTTTTAAAAAGGAACTTATTAGATCCTTTCTAGATCTCCTGTGAAAATAAACATAGTTTACCTGAATACTTTTTCGGTGTGAAGTGAACACTGAAAGCCATTACAGGACTTATAGTGCAACAACATGACCGGGGACCACCTAAATTCAATCGTTCAATTACAAGTCACGTTTACAACAAACGAGCCTGACTTTGACAGTTTGTTAACCATTGGACACGAAAGATAGAGGAATAAGTCCCAATAAGAGATAAGAAGTGTCGGTGGATGTTGAATTCGTTGCACTGTAACTATAAAATCGCAGGTTATGTAAATGGGTCTTAATATGATTTGTTCAACGTATTTATATTGGAATTTCTGGCTTAGGACAGTTTTAAGTGAAACTTGACAGATCTAGCTATCGCACGGTTTTCTTTGCATGTGAAAAGTTTTAAAAGCAGCATGACGTCGCGCCAAGAAGTCACGATGACCTTTTCTTGGTTGTTTGTTTTTATGGTTACCTGACCATCCGGCCAATTTTGTCAATTTTACGAAAGAGAGGGCGATGCAGGATACGAAACATTTCCTCAGAAAAGACTTCATTTACCTTTACTGGTTGACATAATTTCTTATCTGTTTTCTTTTAGGACAGCCCACATCTACATGAGTTTCTCAAGCAATCGATATCGATGAATCAATTTATTGAACATCAGATAATATAGGCTCAATATTAGTCACGGAAATTAAATATTGCGATATTAGTCAGCGATTTCACTAACCTACGGAAACGGCGGATGCGGTCGTCAAGTATCTCAACGCAATTTGTATTTGTGCACTTGAGTAATATTTTTAAATATTGCTTGTTCACTCTGTAACTTGGAAAGAATGTGATTATTTCCTAGTTTTTAGTAATCGGAAAAGTTATCTACCGAGTAATGTATCTCATTTTACAGAAACTACTGGCACTGCTTGCTCAAGAGATGGTTAACTTTAGCCCAAGGTTAAGCCAATTTTAAAACAAAATCAGTCTCTCGTCTAGAAATATATTGCTGGAGCTTATCACAGTGCTGTTGAGCTCTCTAATCAGAGTCGTTTTAAACAAAATGACCCAGTTATTAAGTCAAAATGACAGTACACTGAAAACAATTCGCAATATCGGTATCAAAATTTTAACGCTTTCACTTATAAAATGCTCTTCAAGTAAAGTCTGGGTCGGCTGGGTTGAAGATCAGCTACGGTTTCATGACTTTTGACGTACTTTTTATTTATAGATACTGAGAAACTGTTCGATTTTGTTCTCCTTCGGAATGCGGCCCAGTATTTCGAATCGTTCTAAATGCAATCCGCCATATACTCGTCCGGATACTACATAGTTATCGCCAGCGGGCAGGGTCAAAGAAAAACGTGGAACGTGACAGAGGGCTGCAAATTGACGACCTTATTGGCATCAACAACTTTTTATTAATAGATACTGTGAAACTGTTCGATTTTGTTCCCCTTGGGAATGCGGCCCAGTATTTCGAATCGTTCTAAATGCAATCCGCCGTACACTCAGTCCGGATCACTACATACTGATCGCCAGCGGGCAGGGTCAAAGAAAAACGTGGAACGTGACAGAGGGCTGCAAATTGACGACCTTATTAGCACTAACAATAATTTTTTCGGACGAAAAACACAGCAATGTTTTGTTACGCTCTCCTAACAGGAAAAGACCGAGCAGAACTCTCGATGACGGCATGTGCAGTGGCCCTCCTCATGGGACCATACGAGTAAAATGGACACATGCAAAGGAACTAAAGCAAAAAGGAAACGATTTCATCTTCACCGGAACGTATTGTACCAGTCATAACCTAATAATGTTAAGTTACTCGTTAAAACACAGTCACAGAAACGACAGAAACTTTCGCGCACAAACGTAGAATAAAGCTTGTCTTGGTTGACGCTACGTGGCCCTATGGAGCTTAGGGAGCTGCCTTATCGTACCGCAGTAGTTATATTTTTATTTTGCAGTCATTCCCGAGACGATCCAACACCGGCAGTCCGTAACCTAAGATATCCGAACAGATAAATCAGTATTTAGGAGACCTCCAAATTTACTGAACAGGCTTTTAACTGAAGCAGAGAGAAACCATTTGATACACTTAAATTCTGACTTTTTTTGAAACATTCGGTCGTTAAAGGTTCCCCCGCTGTACTCAATAAAGGACATCATTTCACGAATTCGTACAAGGGATTGTCATTCAACAAACAATGTGCAAATCTGATCGTTTGAATAAACAATAAGCCTAGTTCTGTGAAGTAACAGCAGCATTCAAAAGTTTCTACTACAGTGTAAGATCGGCTTCATCGTATTTGTAGTGGTGGTTAATAATTTTTTTTTTTGAACGCCTACGCCAAACATTAAGGTATTCAGCCGCACTTAAGTATATCATCTCCACTCGTTAACTTACTTAATTCAAGTTTAACTGAGGCAAAACGTGTATTTTCTTGATATCACCGTGACGGTAGTATACATTTATTAGTCACTGATAAAAATATTGGTACCCAATTATAGCATCGTAGCTGCTTCCTGATAAAAGTTCGTGAGACCCTGCTAGCGAAAGAGCGCGGAGGCAATTCAAGAAGCCCATGGATACAGCCGGTATCTGTTGGGACATATTACTACAAATTCTTTCTTTCTTTTCTGTATTAAATATCATTTGGCTAAAATTCTGAAGTACAACAAAATTTCGAGAAGTGAGCAGTTACTACCGTGTGTCAATATAAGCCTCCTTTACAAATTTAATTGTCCCTGATACTACGCTTCGCACTTATGATTTTTTCTCGACAACACCCGACCACAGGTCACGTATCAAAGAGACCATACGCCGTTGCAATACTGAAAGCAAATTTTCAGACATGATGAAATTACCGTGGCGAGTTATAAACGACGTTGGCAAATGCAAAAAACGGGAAAGGGGGCGAAACTTGGGAGGGCCCAAAAAATATCAGCAGAGTACAAGAAAATACTGACACGTTTTGAATCATATTCAGGAGAATGGCGGGGGAACACATTACCACTTATGGCTCCTTTTAAATTGAAAGCGGAGGACCGGAGGTTAATTGGGGCGGATTCAATGCTACCACGATCTCTATGATGGTATTCCGAGGTAAATTGGTTTGAATGTATGTCATTTTGCTCATCTGGTTTGGCCAGTACTTACAGTCTAAAATATTTGGTTTTTCTATTTCCCCTTTAATATAGGCTAGGCTTGGCGAGGCCCGTTTTCCGGTCGGTACATGCACTGGAAGTTTAAAGCACTGATTCATGGAGGTGTGGGCTCTGAGGTCTCCCTGTCTTCAACATAACGATCGGGCATCTTAAACAACAAGTAAAAATCAAACGCGTACACTAGAAACCCCAAAATTACTTTTGAAATTTTTACATTTCAAATCTGTCGCAGGCCATATTTTAAGAGATCCTGCAATGATTCCTCAAACACAAGTAGAAATCTTTATCAGTAAAAGGACGGAAATTAGCAGAGGGCTGGACATTACTTAGTTTCCCTTCGTCCTGGGGTGATTACCGGGGCCGGATATACTCAAATATAGGTACTACCGGCCTCCCTATTTTGTGCACGGTTTTTGCCTCAGTATATAGATGATTTCCTTTCAGCTGGTGTGATACTATCTTTTGTACAACCACTAACATAAGAACAGAATTTCAAGTGCATTTTTCGATAAGAGTCTTGAAACGTTTACTGAACTACTTGAGTGGGTCAGTATCGTCTTCTTCGATCTTCTTCCGCTTTTTGTTCTTCTTCTAGATTGCATGAAAGAATGGAACTCTTTTTGTTGTTCTGAATTTACTTTTATTTTCTCCGTCTGAGCCAATGACAGTTGCAATGCCACTGCAGTGGTATGCGTCGTCTCGGTAACTTTATATCACTGAAATACAGAATTTTGTGTCTTTCAATTTCATCTTAAAGAATCACACAGACAGTTGTACTCGCATTACCAAACAAAACCGGAAGACCTAATGATCTATTAGAATTCATACCCCTTATGATAAATTGAACTTTTCCTTCTGCGGTTATACCAGATTTTGATGTTATGTCCTGGAGAACAATCTCACGTCCGCTACACTTCACTGAGCTACGAAGAGAATGCTTTATATCTGTTTTGTGAATCAATATTCTAATTTGAAAAAGAATTTTTAAAACCTTCTATGAGAACAAATATTCTTAATACGAAATCAAGTTTTCGAGTTTTAGCGCGTAAAGTACCGTATATTCCATTGCGTTGACAATTCACTAATAGAAAGAGAGCTTTCTCTCGGTGCTATCGCATTGGTCCTTTCAGATAAACAATTTAATTTCTGTAACTGAAGATCAGTTGAAATCAGCTAGAAATAAAAGACTGTGCTACGGGAACCAATAGTGATGTAGAAATCACAGGTTGTTTGGTCAGGCAACTGAAGAATGCTACTCTAAAGCTCGCGCGCCAGTCTGTCATACACAAACGCGGAGCTTGCGGAGCTAATTTTCCTAGAAGATAACTTGCAGTATTGGGTTCCCAGTTAGCTCCTTACGGCTTGTGCATACCATTTGTCGTGCCACTTAGTAATATACCCAAACCTGTCATCAATTTTTCTGTACCCTGGAACTATTTCCTTTGTAGATTGCTTTGATAGCTTTATCAGTTTCTTCTTAGCCCGAACCTCAGGCTTACTTTGAATTGAGCCTTCCCCATGCGCTTCTTTTCTCTTACTCTGCTGCAATTTATTTTCTAGCACCAAGCAAGGAAGTTTATTCGACTTCTCAAGCTCGTCTCGCTTCCAATACGAAAAACTGTCGTAACCGAAGATAGGACGATCGGGAATCCGATCGGACACACCGAATGCGTCTTTACGTTCTTCGGGCTCTAAGTGCGTCATGTAATCAGGTCGTTCGTACGTTTTGGATTTTTTCAGAGTTTTGTAACTACGCTTTCCATAAGTTACTTTATATTTCTTGTGTTTTTCTTCTTCGCTTAGCACCTTTTCCTCTTCGCCTTTTCCATCACCGTGATGATACCATTCTGGGACATGATAAGCTTTGGGTCCAGTACTTTTGGGTTCGTTTTCCAGATAGCATAGAAGGTTTTTTCTCCCTCCTGTTTTGGCCAACTTCACGTATTTTGAGTCCGTTTCCAGGACACGTCCAACGTTAATGTTTTTCTGCAAAGCACTATCTCCCTTCACAGTCTCATTCGTTAAATCTGGTACTTGAGAAATAGGAACTTTAGGCAGAGTTTTTGAATCTTGCTTTTCGCGATTGGGTATGAAATAGCAATACCAAATCTCCTCTCTTTCTGGTCTGTCTAAGGGCTTGTAAAATGGCTTCACCATTTTCCCCCAAATATGACTCCTTTTACCTCAGCAATTATCCCGAAAACCTAAAGGAGTCGATCCGTTAGCAGCATGAAATCTGTTAATCTCTTTGCACTAAACTGACCGACCTCATTAATAAGTTATCTGTTGTACAATTAGACCATTTTCGAAAGAAAAGAAGTATTTTTTTGGTGTATTTGCGTAGGTGTCAGTGAATTATTAACGCCGATAATTATGGCCAACCATGAGTTAATTCTTGAAACAGCAGGGAACAACTCACCTGTAAAAACTGAAGGAAAAATATCCCTGGTTCACGCTACTTAATATGTTGTTTAGTTGCTGGACCTCGGGAGTACAAATTTGACTCGATAAAATCTCAAACTGCTCATTAGCACTCAAGTTTACTGTAGTCATTAATAAATAAACAGAACTACGACTGAAATATTCTTGATCCATAATATCTAGCCTTAACTGCTAATAAGATCATGTAAAACAAAACAAAACAAAACCAGAAGAAAACATTCAATAAAACCTCTGCGACTGTTCAACAAAAACTCTTAGACATCTTTTTGAAAGCCAAACCAACTTTTATTTACGTTAGGTACAGTAAGTGTATTTGAATAAGCTCACTTACCTTATAATAAAAACGATTTTCAAGAGTGGCTTCTTACTGGTTGCTGCATCATAAAGATTAATTTTTTTATCAGACCCAGGCCAAAGCAATATCAAAGTGTTTTCATAGTAATTATAGTTTTCACGCGCAATACAACTAAATTAGCCAGCCGCGCGAGCTAATTTAGCTGTTTCTTTATTTAATGAATTATGACGCATCGTGAACAATCTGCTACCACAAATATGACGTATTTGAAAACAATTTGGATTAATTTGTGGATTTTAGACCTACTTATCACTAATAGTCACTGGTGGCTAGATAACTCCAAAGTTGTGTTGATTGTAAAGGGATTGGTGCAAACAGTTCGAATACTTATTTGTCGAGAGTGCAGTGTGAAAATGCATTTCCTTGTGTTGTTAACAGGGAACTTGAAAAAACTAAGTGTATAGTGCATGGTTTAGTCATTTCTCCCTTTGAAAACTACAGATCAGGCGAATGAAAGCTCGAACTATTTTTAGCCAGCGAACGTTTTCATAATTAAAAAAGACCATTAATGAGGTAAAGTTTATTTTTCTTAACAAGTTGTTGAAATCTTATCCAACTAAAAAACGCAGCTATAGTTTTCTCCGTTCCAACTCCTCAGTTTTATTTCCCTTGAGCACTCCATTGCTTAACTGCTTTAAAGAGCATATCCTTTCTAATATGGACTGCAGGCTCCAGCTTTCATAGTTCCATTCTTTGCACTTTTTGCAAATACACCACTGTCTCAGCTCTAGGCTGCATTTTACTGATGAAGCGCGGAAACACAAGAAAAGAAAAGAAAAGAAAGTGCAAGGTTGCGTCAGAAGGCCTCGAGCGCAAAGCTGAATTGCTAAATAATATATTGAATATTTTTTTTAATCGTGTAAGCACTGAACATGCTATATAAAAGGCGGTTAGGAATAGCAGTTAGGCAAAGGGGAATGCAACTCAAACGAAAATTGACTAACTCCCAACGAGTCATTTACAATAGGATGAGAAAAGCCCGCGGCGTAGGCATTTGACACGCAGTGGTAACCTTTACCCAAAGAGGAGGAATTATGCGGTTATTTACACTTTGGCTACGCTCTTGCTTTTCTCATTATTTTTAAACACGCTTGTATTTTCGCGCGCAGAATAAAACAAAAGAAAGCAAAAGGCATTTAATTCATTCTTTTGGTTCCCTGCTCATCTATCGACTTGGTCGACCAGCTTCTGTATTGAGGCTAGTCTTGCGACGCATCGATTGCCTGCGAACTGGACTACGAAGGAGTGCCAGGGGAAATGACCAATGGGTAACAGTTTTTAGGTGTGTTAAATCGACGTCATAACTGAAGAAGCAAAACAGTGGTAAAACTACGTTTAATGTGTCAGGAGTGGGTAAAATGTCCCACTGCCTCAGCCAGGGCTACAGGAATAGGAAGACCAATGCGGTAAAATTGCATAGAATTTATGACTACATTTTAATCCCATATTTTGCCGCACAAGGAATACGGTATTTACTCGGTTATTTACATGGTATTAACACAGTAGGATAGGTATATTTAGCGAACACGACCAGACGACAGGCACAGTGACGACGGCGCACGCAGGACTAAATACCGAATTGGCCAATGGCTGAGCGGCGTAAAAAAGCCCGCGTAGCAAGCGTTTCCGTGCTTGTTTGTTGAGGAAGGTGCACGTGAAGTGCTCCCTCCTCTTTTTCCCTTAAATTGATCTCAGTTTCAACTTTCTTAACGAATCCAGGCGAGAACCCTTGCTACGAGAACTACGACGTAAATGCACACAGCCGGTAAAAAGAGCGGGAAACTATCGCGAGTAGTCCTCAACCGGTATTTATAGGAGGGAGCTTATAAAGCAACCACGACAACGACGTTAGTGGAAAACCTCAGCATTAAAAAATGAAATTACAATCTTTTTCACTTTCTCACGTTTATTTAGCCTCACTCAGTTTGTCAAATGTAGGGGAATTTTTTACTAGAGTTGAATTCCTCATTCAAGTTTAAAAAGAAAAAAGGAAAAATCGTCTTCGTGTGTTCACGTTCTCTATATAACTTCGCATAAAAAAGTTTCGTGTTGTAGTCGTACAGTAGACGTCAGGGAGATGAGCCAAAAAGTATGATGCACGTGCTGAGCTGTTATTTTGTTCATAAAACCAATCGTTTTTGACGTTCTTGTTGCCGCCGCCGTCGTAGTTGCTTAAGCTCCCTCAATTGGTTTCTTTTGCCGCCTAGCAAGAGACTGCAAAAGCGACGCCCAGAAGAAATCTGCCCAACTGACACCAGAGTTAGAGTTCGTTTATGCGCTGGTTTCCGGCTGCTAGTCACCACAGTTTTAAAGGGGCGCTATCATACAATTTAGAAGACCTCTAAGATCAAATTTGACAGTGGATTAATAAAGAGAGGTTCTCGAGTCACCTTAAAAAGTAGTTTCTATAATATGTATCTATTTCCTTCCAAGAAATTCACCGAAAATTGGTGTTGCTGCAGACTTTTCTATATGAGAAGAGATCCTGGTCAACAAAAAAAGCTGAAAGATAGCAAGATACGGAATTCAGATGACAGTGCCTCATTAACACATGAGGCTGACTAACCACAGATGAAGACAAAAATATGTCAAGAAAATCCCAGGCGATCGGTTCACTTCAGTAGACAGGCCTAAGGGATACAATCACGTGACTGAGTAAAAGTTCCCTCCCAGTAACTAAATGAGCCCGTCTTCCTCTGTTTATGGTTAAAAGCCTGGATACGTGTGCATGAACGAGTATTTTTGTACTAAAGTGGAGCTTTATTCGCCCCTCTGTATACACGCAAGTAGGAATGTACATGCCTTCAAGGCAAAGAAATGTATATACACATTGTTCAAGTTTACCTCGTCTTTTGACAGGTTAATACATAGAACTGACTATTTAAGCGCATATCATACATTTTACAGTCCCTGACTACATTAACAACCTTTTGATATGGTACTGTTTATGCAATAACTTACAAATCTACCTCCATATTAGCCTCTGATCGCCATGGCGTTGTTGTCTCTGACGAGTAAAGTCTGACCAATGTGACGGACGCCATCTTGGATCAGACTCTGAGGTGAAGCCGGGGAGGTAACGCGAGGAATGAGCTTTCGCCGGGTTCACATCTTTATTGTACTCGCGCGCCATCTCTGGCGTACTTATGAAACTCAACAAGTCTCTTTGACCTCCAGCTTTTGCACGCTTTACGTAATCAGAATCACTGTCCCGGATTCTAGTTTTTATGGGCTTTTCCAAGATATTTTTCTCATGTACGTATCCTCCGAGGCAACTGACTTGTGAAATGGGGGGAAGTTTTAAACTTTCACCAGGAACTTTATCGTCGGGGAGTTGTCTTCCCCCCATGGATATTTGAGAAATAGGCGGTAAATTTCCTGGGCCATAATTCAGCGTCCTTCTGCGGCCATAATGTTGTTCTTTCAAGGCAGCTGTTTGAGACATGGTTTCTTTTTTATGTTCGTCTATTTTCTGTGCTCTACGAGTCTCTTCGAACCTTGCAGGATCTACGCGGTTTTGGGGTAAACAGTCTATTTGGGAGATGCGTGGAAGTGTTGTAGTGTCGATTTGAGGAAAATTACGCATGGAAAAGTCTTGATTCCCCAATCTTGCACTCTTTTTAATACAGCTTAATGCTCTGTGGCTTGTCGTGTACGATACATGAAGTTGCTATGGTTTCTATCACCAATCTGGGATCCAATGAAAAGCGGTATATTTTCTTTCCTTTAAAGATCAAACAAAATATATTCATTTAACCTTACTTCTCATTTACTGACCAAGATTCTAGAAACGATATACGTCAGTACATTTTCACGCTGACATGTGAGAAATGTCGCAAAATATTTAAAGAAAATTTGCTAATTTGCACTTTGTTTTTGGAGCGGAATATTAATCGCCACTCTTTTGAAATACGCAACAAACCGATTACAACAGGCCGCATAAGACCAGCTGTTGTTATAGAAACATGATGAAATAAAGATAAATGTATGATATGATACAAAAAAATGGTCCCTCGTAGCGAGAAAACTATCATGTTGCAGTTTCATAGAGCCGATCAGCCCTTCGTAGTTAATTGCTCGCAACATGAAAACTTATTTAAGTAACAGAATATTGTGGCTGAATTACCCCCAGTATGACCACCATGAAAGGAAATTATCTTAAAGTTGTGAGAGAACAAAGAGGTTTAATTATCAAGAAACTAAACTTAGGGATTAACTACCCAAACATCAAAGAAATAATTTATTGCTTGTGGTAAACGTTTTTGCACTTGTTTTGTTCGATCTTTCGTTGCAATAATTTTTCTATTATTAAAAGTGCGAATTATCAACCCCAAACTAAGACGTAACGCATGGACGGTTTTGTAATTTAGCCTTATCATCTTTACTTTTTAAAAAGCTTTACCAATTGCGGATACATCACTGCAAAAGATGCATCCTAGTCAAGCAGAACCCCACATGAGATTTATACTTTTGTTTTCTTCTTGCAATTCAGGCTTCTAAACGATTGCCAAGACGACTGAAACGCTGAATACCAAAAACACGCCAGAAGCAAAGAAAGCAAACCATTTCATCTTGATGCTAAAATCCGAAGATACGACTACAGAACTGAAAAGGTTCCCTCAATTGGAACCAAATCGAAAAGCCGCCAAAACAAAGGGAATGGAAGACGTTAAGTCGCATCACGACTGAGATGTTTGAATTTCAAGCAACCATCTTGCCGTGCTTGAACGAACGACGCTAATTTGACCACAACAGTAGAGCGAAATCAGTCCTCCCTCTAAAGCGGCTTAGATATATCACGTGAAATGCCCTTGATGGCTCAAGAAAAAAAATATGTAATATTCTATGCCGCTGATCTAAGCGAACACACATAAATTGATCAAGTTTCATGCAAAACTCGCTTACCTGATTTCCTCAATCTGGGTAGAAAGTAAAATCCATAAATAAAAAGTACGTTTGTCACACTGTCTATAGTCTATAGCAACGCGAATCAACAGAAATTTATGTTGTCACTTTCTGTCACCTCTTGGCCTCAGTGGTGCTTAAGAAAACTGTGACGACACGCTTGGCAGCGACCCGGATGCCACGAAGTGAAATTAATTGGTTGTCTATTTAAACAAATGGCAAGACAAGTTTTCCAACAGATTTGTTTTTATCTGCTAGAGTAAACAATTTTACGTCTCTGTATCCCACCAAATTGACTGCTAAAGACAAAAAATTAAAAGTGCAAGCTATTCAAGACTCCTCTCTCGTTGTAGACTTAACCTCCGGCAGTTTTCGAACCAGTAGACAGTGTCGGCTAGTTTGATAGCATGCTAGTGTGTACATAGGCCCTTAAGGCACAAACTGAAAACGTGAACACAGAAACCGTTCTACTTTTTCGTAACCCATACACACGAACACACCGGTCAGTTCTTGCTTGTTTTCAGTTTGTCGTATTGTTGTTTTAATAATTCGGGTTTATTCACTTGAATAAATTAGTTTATTTTTCGATTTGTCAAAATTGATCGAACAGGTGCGTTTTCTTTTCAGCGGCGGTCATTCAAATTTTACTCGGCACTATTACTGAAATGAAAGCACGAGCAAGAACTCGCTATTCATTTTCTCCACGACCGGTTCATTTCGTCGATTCGCTCTGAGTAGAAGGCGTAGACAAGTCTGAGTTTCCATCATCAAACGCCCTAGCTTTTTTTCAAATATAACTTGCTACTGAGTAAATCACAGTCCGCGAAAGTGTCGTAAGCATACCAGTCGAACTTTGAACAGTGAAAATCTTTGCGTTGGGATACTTTGCTTTTGCCAATATTTCTTGTTTAAACCACGATAAAAGTTGTCGTCATAAAATGAGGTTCAGTTTCTCGCCAAAAACAAAGCAAAAGGTCACGGATCTTGACTAGTAATAACGAAAAGCACCCGGCGTTCGTCATCATTGTTTTCTACTGAAACCATTCTTAACAAACAAGGTTTTTTTTTCTATGTTGCTGAAGCTCAAAAAATGGTCTAATTATACTCTCACAGGTAGCATTTAACCAGCTTTTTGACTTTAGTGGTAATTTTGATGAAAAACTTTACCGTAGGCCATACTCACATAGGTTAAAAAAGCACTCGTATATCGAAAGCTCTGGCCCTATTCATTTTTGTTTCCGGTAACCTTGGCAACAGTAATGTTGAGAAGAATCTTGCCTTCCGCAAGTCATTCTTGCGCTTAAAGCCCACAACCTTAAGAAACCCAGCGAAATTGTTAAAATCAATCACGNACTTTACCGTAGGCCATACTCACATAGGTTAAAAAAGCACTCGTATATCGAAAGCTCTGGCCCTATTCATTTTTGTTTCCGGTAACCTTGGCAACAGTAATGTTGAGAAGAATCTTGCCTTCCGCAAGTCATTCTTGCGCTTAAAGCCCACAACCTTAAGAAACCCAGCGAAATTGTTAAAATCAATCACGCTATTAACGAAAAATCAAATATCAAATTTATCCGGTCGACCAAGATATTCCGGGTTATAGTCACTGCCGAACTTCGTCAAATTTGACTGACTCACATGCAATATAAAAACATGAAGGATGTTATTTTAACTTGCCTTGTAGAAACAAAACAAGGTGAAGAGGTCCATGCACATTCGCTGTTCGTCTTCACACGAGAGTTGCACTTCCCTGCCTCGCAAATCCACCGGCTCACGTTTTATCAGCTGTATTCATAAATGCGTATGCAAAGCTTAGCTTCCCTTTTGTATGTTGAGTCGTCATTTGAATTGTCTTATCAGGCGATAATATACTCAGCACTCTCCATAGCTCGTCAAAAATGCAATACTGAAATGTGGGAAACATGAAATGACTGTTTTTACAAAAAATTTGAGAGCCGCTTCTTAAGATAACAGTTATATTTAATGGAATCTTGATCAGAGGTGTATGCAAATTAAAGACGACTTTTGTTTGTTAAGTTACCCGACAAAACATTGGAAATCCCCGGACTACCTGCTGAGTTTATTGTACTTGTCACTTAGCAACAGCGAGAAGTTTAGTTCCGCCTTTCAGGAAAATCTTAACGGCCCATGCCAAGGTTGCGAAGCAAATTGCGTACAAAATTTGCTACAAGAAACTGAATCTGAAGACAGAATTTGGAGGCGCGTGACGTGGAAATTTGCTACACGCGCGGGAGTAATCATTTATTATCGATTAGTTACTTGATCCGACACTCTCATTTAGCTTTCAAACAAAAGCTGCTATTAATGTCTCAATTTGATGAATTTTAACGCCATTTCATTTTTTGGGAACTGCTTCGATAGACAGAACAAAATGTCGGAAACTCATCACGCTTCAATAGTAAAGAACTCAACAAGAAAAGGCTGTTGCCCAAAAAGGAAACCTTCTTCGCAAACTCCGCGCATAATTTCCGCCATTCTTCATGGTAAAGCCACGCTGATACAAAGTTATAGAGCGGTGAATCTTTATCGCTTTGAACATGTAAATGACAAGGACGACGCTATGGTGGTTATAGCAGAGGAGTGGCCCTTTGGAAGACGAAAAGTTCCGCCAGAGAAACTAAGTATCAGTGAACAGGCAGGTAAATATTTTGAAGTTGTTTGCGCTTATAAGACAAGCAGTGACTGTATCACCAGGGATTCTAAGAAGAAATAAAAGAGCTTAGGAACAGCACAAAGGCAGCGAGGAAATTAGTCCATATGATCCACCGAAACAAAGACTTTCAATTTCGATGAACTCCCTTGAAGAGTCGAAGGATTTCCTTGTACACGGCAGCCCGGTCGAAGGTTAGCGAAGTCACTTTGCTTTTGGAATGGACACCGCATATGATATGATTGTAACCTTTCAAAAACTGTATAATTTATCATTAAGAGACTTCAGAGTCATCTCGTAACAACGTGATTCAAGTTTAAGGTGATGTTACGCCGACGATTCGTAACAACGATTTTCAACGCTAACTATTCGAAACAATGCCGCAACAATGCTGCAACTCTGAGTTGCCCGAAAAATAAATCGTCGTTGCGAATCGTCTCGTGTAACATCTCCTTTATGAATCATTCAACCTTCAATGCAAACCTTTCTCATGTAAGCAGCATTAGAGAGTATCAAGGTTTGATCTCTTTGGTGCACTTGGTAATAGACTTATCTCCTTTGAATATTAGGGCCATTTAAACAAGGAAAAAGTCGTCTTCAAAACGACAAAACCTGTACCATTTTGAAGAGCTTATAAGCTGCGTCTTAGCTCAGTTGCTACTAATAATTTAGTCTGGAATACATTTTTTGTGCCATTTACAAGAGAACTTCACGTCCTCGCGTCTTCTGTAATACGCGTCATATTTTTTCTGGTATAAATAATTAATGGCACTATTTATTGCGCGAAACTCTGAACCAAATTGAATAAAACGATGACAGGCGTGTTTGCACCGGTAAAATTGCATTTATTTTCATTCACTACAAACAAAAGTGTTGAGCTTCAGAGAACTGGTGGCGGAGTGAGCATTTTATGCCTCATAAAAAGATTTCCGGCCTTTGGTCCACTCGATAAGAGATCCCATAATCAATAGAGGAGGGAACTGAAGTGTGTAAGGCGTTACTCTTTATGTACAGTACATACGTCGGCGCAGATTCTATAACCATTCTTCAACGGGAGTTCCTCTTCCACTGAAAATCAACAATACAATAAACATTGGCATTATCCTCAGCCGGAGTATGTTTCTTAATGCTATCTCTGGTTTGGATTGGTTTAGATTACATCGACTAACAAAGTTTCAGTTAACTTCCTTTATATGTTATATCCGGTACAATGGTACACTACCCCGATATACAATCGCAGCCTCGTTTCCCGGCAGCTGCGCAGGAGCCTAGCTGTTTTAGCATCCGTGAAAATAAGTTCACAGTTATTACAAGACGGAGTGGGTGAATAACTGACTGAATAGAATAAATACACTAATATGCAAAAAAAAAAAAAATTGCTAGATAGATGTCATCTACTAATTGAAGAGTACGTGTGAGGCAAAAAGCATGTCATGTTCCGAAACTGTGTAGATAAACCGGCAAATCTTTTGAAGAAAGTCTACGAGAAGGTAAGGTTGCGCTTAGAAATAGCTGGAATGAATAATAACACAATTATTGACTTGGGCCTCAGTGGCACCAGTCTCAGTTTTTTCCCCCGCATTTTCACCTGCTGTTGCTTCCCGTATCGACGGGGGTTGAGTACAATTCGGCTTTGTTCCCTGTTGACTGCAGCCTGCCAGCAAATTCTTCGTGTCGCGAAGCAGCGATTGCGTTCATCTTATTTTTCCACATTGACAACAGTGAGGTTGCAGCGCCTATAATCAATCAATTCACTAAACTAAAAACTCAATCAATCAGTCAGTCAGACATTACTGATTCGTAATTTAAGCAGTCAGTCAGTGAATCAATGCTGAAATTAGTTAAGCTTGGTCTTCTTTATTTCCTCACCTCTCCCTGTCTGTTTATTGAATCCTGGTTGATTATCTCCACGAAATTTCTTGTGCGCCTGCTCTGAGACCGCTGTACCCAAACCTCTTTTAAACATATGATCATTGTTGGTATCACCGCGGTTAAAATCCGTCTTTTCTCTTTCGGTCATGCTCTGGTATCTGGTGATATAAAACCAGTGTTAGTTAAATCAAGTCAATTTTTATTTAACTCACACAGAATACTAGTACTATTTACAATTTGCTGTTTTAAAAAATAGAACTTCAAAATGTGAAAAAGGAAAGGAAATTATTTCAATTTTAGGTTGATTGTGTAGAGTTCGGGACATCTAAATAGTTCGTAGAACTAACCGCGTAGGTGACCGAAAACAAGGATACGAGTAGAAGAAATATAGCGAAAAAAATTAGATATAAAGTAATAAGTGTACTTCATAAACTAAAAGTAAAAGTAAAGAAAAGAATATGAATCTCTTTCGCTCAAAGTGAGATCTTTATAGATCTTTAGACACTTTAAAATGACTTGTTGTCCAAATTTTAACTAGTGCTCTACAAAAAAGTTTCCAAAAGAAATCATTTTACACTTCGCAAGCTGACCTGTCGATCTCCTGCCAGGACAGGGTCGCTTCGGAGAGACTCGATTTAGTGACTCCTCCCTCTGTACAAAATAAAAGAAGGGAAATTATAATATGAAGTGCACTGATCCCAATCAGGGATTGAGAGACGTAAAGATGAAACCTTTCGATGTCAATTGACAACCTACTTTCAATTTCATCCGTGGGTGTCTCTCTCCTTGGGCTCCCTGTGGCACTGCTTGAAGGGCTTGTGCCTCGCAAACATTCCAGTACCTGAAAATTGTGAAAGATATAAGTCCAATGGAGTAGTATTCCCAGCAAATATCTGGTAAGATTAGCAAAAAAGTATCATAGCCTTCAAAGTGAATGAAGAACCGATGTCAAAATCATACCGATAGTCCAGCAGTGTCCGTTTTAGAGACAGTTGACAATGTATGCAGTTATGGTTACCTTTTCATGCATCTTGGATGTTAAAAGGAAACCTTCTTCGCAAACTCCGCGCATAATTTCCGCCATTCTTCATGGTAAAGCCACGCTGATACAAAGTTATAGAGCGGTGAATCTTTATCGCTTTGAACATGTAAATGACAAGGACGACGCTATGGTGGTTATAGCAGAGGAGTGGCCCTTTGGAAGACGAAAAGTTCCGCCAGAGAAACTAAGTATCAGTGAACAGGCAGGTAAATATTTTGAAGTTGTTTGCGCTTATAAGACAAGCAGTGACTGTATCACCAGGGATTCTAAGAAGAAATAAAAGACCTTAGGAACAGCACAAAGGCAGCGAGGAAATCAGTCCATATGATCCACCGAAACAAAGACTTTCAATTTCGATGAACTCCCTTGAAGAGTCGAAGGATTTCCTTGTACACGGCAGCCCGGTCGAAGGTTAGCGAAGTCACTTTGCTTTTGGAATGGACACCGCATATGATATGATTGTAACCTTTCAAAAACTGTATAATTTATCATTAAGAGACTTCAGAGTCATCTCGTAACAACGTGATTCAAGTTTAAGGTGATGTTACGCCGACGATTCGTAACAACGATTTTCAACGCTAACTATTCGAAACAATGCCGCAACAATGCTGCAACTCTGAGTTGCCCGAAAAATAAATCGTCGTTGCGAATCGTCTCGTGTAACATCTCCTTTATGAATCACTCAACCTTCAATGCAAACCTTTCTCATGTAAGCAGCATTAGAGAGTATCAAGGTTTGATCTCTTTGGTGCACTTGGTAATAGACTTATCTCCTTTGAATATTAGGGCCATTTAAACAAGGAAAAAGTCGTCTTCAAAACGACAAAACCTGTACCATTTTGAAGAGCTTATAAGCTGCGTCTTAGCTCAGTTGCTACTAATAATTTAGTCTGGAATACATTTTTTGTGCCATTTACAAGAGAACTTCACGTCCTCGCGTCTTCTGTAATACGCGTCATATTTTTTCTGGTATAAATAATTAATGGCACTATTTATTGCGCGAAACTCTGAACCAAATTGAATAAAACGATGACAGGCGTGTTTGCACCGGTAAAATTGCATTTATTTTCATTCACTACAAACAAAAGTGTTGAGCTTCAGAGAACTGGTGGCGGAGTGAGCATTTTATGCCTCAAAAAAAGATTTCCGGCCTTTGGTCCACTCGATAAGAGATCCCATAATCAATAGAGGAGGGAACTGAAGTGTGTAAGGCGTTACTCTTTATGTACAGTACATACGTCGGCGCAGATTCTATAACCATTCTTCAACGGGAGTTCCTCTTCCACTGAAAATCAACAATACAATAAACATTGGCATTATCCTCAGCCGGAGTATGTTTCTTAATGCTATCTCTGGTTTGGATTGGTTTAGATTACATCGACTAACAAAGTTTCAGTTAACTTCCTTTATATGTTATATCCGGTACAATGGTACACTACCCCGATATACAATCGCAGCCTCGTTTCCCGGCAGCTGCGCAGGAGCCTAGCTGTTTTAGCATCCGTGAAAATAAGTTCACAGTTATTACAAGACGGAGTGGGTGAATAACTGACTGAATAGAATAAATACACTAATATGCAAAAAAAAAAAAAATTGCTAGATGGATGTCATCTACTAATTGAAGAGTACGTGTGAGGCAAAAAGCATGTCATGTTCCGAAACTGTGTAGATAAACCGGCAAATCTTTTGAAGAAAGTCTACGAGAAGGTAAGGTTGCGCTTAGAAATAGCTGGAATGAATAATAACACAATTATTGACTTGGGCCTCAGTGGCACCAGTCTCAGTTTTTTCCCCCGCATTTTCACCTGCTGTTGCTTCCCGTATCGACGGGGGTTGAGTACAATTCGGCTTTGTTCCCTGTTGACTGCAGCCTGCCAGCAAATTCTTCGTGTCGCGAAGCAGCGATTGCGTTCATCTTATTTTTCCACATTGACAACAGTGAGGTTGCAGCGCCTATAATCAATCAATTCACTAAACTAAAAACTCAATCAATCAGTCAGTCAGACATTACTGATTCGTAATTTAAGCAGTCAGTCAGTGAATCAATGCTGAAATTAGTTAAGCTTGGTCTTCTTTATTTCCTCACCTCTCCCTGTCTGTTTATTGAATCCTGGTTGATTATCTCCACGAAATTTCTTGTGCGCCTGCTCTGAGACCGCTGTACCCAAACCTCTTTTAAACATATGATCATTGTTGGTATCACCGCGGTTAAAATCCGTCTTTTCTCTTTCGGTCATGCTCTGGTATCTGGTGATATAAAACCAGTGTTAGTTAAATCAAGTCAATTTTTATTTAACTCACACAGAATACTAGTACTATTTACAATTTGCTGTTTTAAAAAATAGAACTTCAAAATGTGAAAAAGGAAAGGAAATTATTTCAATTTTAGGTTGATTGTGTAGAGTTCGGGACATCTAAATAGTTCGTAGAACTAACCGCGTAGGTGACCGAAAACAAGGATACGAGTAGAAGAAATATAGCGAAAAAAATTAGATATAAAGTAATAAGTGTACTTCATAAACTAAAAGTAAAAGTAAAGAAAAGAATATGAATCTCTTTCGCTCAAAGTGAGATCTTTATAGATCTTTAGACACTTTAAAATGACTTGTTGTCCAAATTTTAACTAGTGCTCTACAAAAAAGTTTCCAAAAGAAATCATTTTACACTTCGCAAGCTGACCTGTCGATCTCCTGCCAGGACAGGGTCGCTTCGGAGAGACTCGATTTAGTGACTCCTCCCTCTGTACAAAATAAAAGAAGGGAAATTATAATATGAAGTGCACTGATCCCAATCAGGGATTGAGAGACGTAAAGATGAAACCTTTCGATGTCAATTGACAACCTACTTTCAATTTCATCCGTGGGTGTCTCTCTCCTTGGGCTCCCTGTGGCACTGCTTGAAGGGCTTGTGCCTCGCAAACATTCCAGTACCTGAAAATTGTGAAAGATATAAGTCCAATGGAGTAGTATTCCCAGCAAATATCTGGTAAGATTAGCAAAAAAGTATCATAGCCTTCAAAGTGAATGAAGAACCGATGTCAAAATCATACCGATAGTCCAGCAGTGTCCGTTTTAGAGACAGTTGACAATGTATGCAGTTATGGTTACCTTTTCATGCATCTTGGATGTTCTGCTGGCAGCCTCAAGAAAGGTGTCTAACTCGGCCCACACTTGACGATACTGCTCTTCCCTGAACAAACAAACAACACCAACAAAGACCGGAATCAAAACTAATGACTTTTAAAAACCTATCCGTCTCTATCAACAACTAAGGCCTCGTTCACAATTAATTGTCAGATTCAGAGCGATTCCAGGGCACAGGGAAACAATTTATATAAAAAAAAACATTATTTTGTGAGTTTCCGCGCTTGTTTTGGGGAAACTTTCCCGAAAAGACCCACCGCCCGTTGAACCCGGGTAAACATTTAAATAAAGGGAAAAAGCTTTCGTAGGCTCAGTGCTCCAACCAGGGAATGTAAACTTTCGCGGAACTCAGTGTCAACCAGCCTCGCTTCAGTGCGGCGGTAAGTGGGGGAGCGAGTTAAGTTGTACACCGGGAAAACGGGGGAGGGGGGACGGGGAGGCGTGAGCGAGAGAACGCGTTTTCTCCCCCTTTCCCCCTCTAGGCTCCCCTCGTTTTTTTTCTACGTGAATTTTTCTCCCGCGCTCTACTATCTGAACGCCTGGAACAGGCTACAGTGCCAGAGCACGGTACCCCAGAATGACCATCACGTGACCTGGACACAGCCTTTTGCCTAAGCGGAAGAAAGGACTTGCTGAAGTCAATAAACCAATAATTTTTCAGTGCCTTAATTTTTTTTCTTTTCGCTTCAAATATAAGGTTTAATTTCCAGCCTTGAAAAGCTTTTACCTCTTTGGTCCTTTGCCCCTGATTCCTGTCATGGAGACAGGAAGAGGGTCATTTCTACTCTCCATGGCCTGAACTCTGTAAATTACCTGAACAAAACATAGAAAATAATGTAAAATGATACTAAAGTATGACATCCTTAACTTCAATAAACTACTCATGTTTTCCTTTGAAACTGTCTAAGAAACCTTTTCCCCTCGAGAGCCAATCCCATGCTCTTACAGGAGCTGGATTTTGATCTGAAGCCACTAAGCAATGAGTCATTTACTGAGATCAACCTGGTAATGTACAGCTAGGCTCAGAGAGTTAGTTTGTTACTGGGAGTTATCACAAAAATTGTTTTGAAAGTTCTTACCCTTTTACACTCCAGCATTTCGTCCTCTGTAAGAGTCTCTTTCATCAGCAGGGTGGGGAGGGGTTCTAACAGCTGTTTAGAGGCAAAAATATACATTCTGGGAGGTGAAACTTGTGAATAACGAGCAAAGTTGACAGTTTCGTAACGTCGAGGATCAGTTGACAGTAGTGCGTATTCTCTGCTTTATACAACAAGCTTGGACATTGGCATACAAAAGGGCCATTGGCTGCCAATATTGGTCCATTTGTGAGCTTACTGTATGATATGTGTGTGTGATAAGTGAAGTGATAACAGGTGTAGAGGTAGGCCAAACCACCGTGAAAATTCCCCTTCTCTTTTCAAACAGTAGTGTGGGATCTTTTACATCCCTTTCTAGTTAACTAATGAAAGATGGATGAAAGTCAAGGTCAGCGGCTTAATGTCACCACCCAATATACAAAACAGTAAGGTGTACAATTCTCCCAAGAATATCCCAAATAACCCTCAGCAAATCTAGACACAAAATATTACATGGGGGAGTAGATATCCGGTATTTCAATTTATCCAACAGTATTTCACAAACCTGCATCAAGTTGCAAAGTATTGTTTCACTGATCACCAGGGGCCAATACCTTGTGCAGCGCTCTAGTCTTGAAAGGCCTGTGACAAAAAAAAAAACATTTCTCAACTATAATTGTTATTTCATGCCCTTAATTAGTCAAAAATGTCATTCTTGGGAGCTGTGTGATGTACAACATTTTTTGTTGACCTAACGATGTATGAGAGTGAAACAAAGAATTTTCTTACAGTTGTGAAAACCTTCAAAAGTATAATGAACTTTCATTTCTTTAGCAGAGTATTACTTTGCCTTGGGTACAGAAAACCTTTTCATATCATTTTTAAGTGTTAAGCCTAACAAAAAAATACAAGAATCTTATTTAAAGTAAAGAACACTTATGTTATGTCTGTACCTTTTTCCAAGGGAGATTTTCCTTTCTTTTTATTCCAAGAACATGGTGCAAGCCTGTTGGCTTTCATAAATTCACCAAAATCCTGTTGATCAAATTATACAAAACAAA